GAAGGCCATTTCTTATTGATCAAGAGATCTGTACAACAGGAAGAACTTACAATACTAAATGTATATGCACCTAATGAGGGACCAGCAAAGTACTTAAAATAACTACTCATAGACTTGTAGAAAGACATTGATAACAACACAATACTAGTGGGAGACTTCAACACGGCTTTATCACTTCTTGATAGATCAACCAGACTCAAGCTTAGCAAGGACATACTTCATCTGAGGGAAAAAATGGAAGAAAGGGGCTTAGTATATATATACAGGACACTTCATCCTCAAAAAGCTGAATACACATTCTTCTCAAGCGTGCATAGAACATTCTGCAAGATAAACCACATGCTGAGCCACAAAACATACCTCCATAAAATTAAGAAGATAGAGATTGTATCAACAATCTTCTCAGACCATAATGTGCTGAAATTAGAAGTAAATCACACACAAAAACAGAAAATTAAATCACCTGGAAATTAAACAGTTTACTATTGGACAATGAGTGGCTTAGAAAGGAAATCAAAAGATTCCAAGAAATGAATGAAAATGAGGACACGAGTTACCAAAACTTAAGGGACACAGCAAAAGCTGTGTTAAGAGGAAAGTTTATAGCTCTACAAGCATTCCTCAGGAAGGAGGAGTGAGCCCACAAAAGCAACCTAACCTCACAGCTTAAGAGCTTGGAGAAGGACCAACAAAAGGAGCCCAACACGAACAGGAGGAAGGAAATAATAAAACTCAGTGCAGAGATTAACAAGATGGAAACCCAAAAAACAATCAGAAAGATCAATGAAACCAAGAACTGGTCCTTTGAGAAAATAAACAAGACTGATAAGCCTCTAGCAAAACTCATAAATAAAGGAAGAGAGAAAACCCTAATAAACGGAATCAGAAATGAAAAGGGAGTCATTACAACAGAAACTACAGAAATTCAAAGGATCGTCAGGGAGTACTTTGAGAAGCTTTAGGCCACGGAACATGAAAATCTCAAGGAAATGGATAAATTCCTAGATTCCTATAGACTCCCAAGGCTGTACCAAGAAGACCTGGAATACCTCAACAGACCTATCACCATCAATGAAATTGAAATGGTAATAAAAAGTTTCCCCAAAACAAAAGTGCTGGCCCAGATGAATTCACTAGTAAATTCTTACAAATCTTTCAAGAGGACTTACTCCCAATCCTCTTTAAGATTTTCCATGAAATTGAAATATCAAAAACACTTCCAAACAGTTTCTACGAAGCAAATATCACCCTGATACCAAAAGCAGACAGAGATACCATAAAGAAAGAGAATTACAGGCAGATATCCCTGATGAACACAGATGCAAAGATACGCAACAAACTATTAGCAAATAGAATAAAACAACTCATCAAAAGATCATACACCATGACCAAGTGGGATTCATCCCAGGGATGCAAGGATGATTTAACATTCAGAAATCAATCAACATAATCCATCATATCAACAAAAGAAAAGATAAAAAGCTTATGATCATATCAATAGATGCAGAGAAAGCATTTGACAAGATCCAGCACCCATTTATGATGAAAACCCTTGCCAAAATGGGTATAGAGGGGACTTTCCTCAATATAGTTAAAGCCATCTACCACAAGCCTACAGCAAGCATCATCCTCAATGGGGAAAAACTGAGAGCCTTCTCTCTAAGATCAGGGAGGAGACAAGGATTCCCACTCTCTTCACTGATGTTCAATATAGTACTGGAAGTACTTGCAATAGCGGTTAGGCAAGAAAAAGATATTAAGGGCATTCAGGTAGGAAAGGAAGAAATCAAGATCTCACTATTGGCAGATGATAAGATACTATATTTAGAGAACCCTATAACCTCCACCAAGAAACTCCTAGAAACAATAGACTTGTACAGTAAAGTTGCAGGCTATAAAATCAATACCCAAAGGTCCATGGCTTTCCTATACGCAAACAATAAGAGAGAAGAAAGCAACATGAAAAAAACAATCCCGTTCATAATTGTACCCCAGAAAATCAAGTACCTAGGAATCAGTTTAACTAAGGAAGTAAAGGACCTGTACAAAGAAAACTACAAAACACTAATTCAGCAAATAAAAGAGGACTTGAGAAAATGGAAAGATATCCCCTCCTCATGGGTCGGGAGAATTAACATTGTCAAAATTGCAATACTTCCCAAAGCATTGTACAAATTCAATGCAATCCCTATAAGGTTACCCATGACATTCTTCATAGAAATGGAGCAAACACTCCTGAAATTTGTATGGAACAATAAACCCCCACGAATAGCTAAAGTAATTCTTGGGAAAGAGAAAATGGGAGGAATCAACCTTCCTAACTTCAAACTCTACTACAAAGCAGTAATAATTAAAACAGCATGGTACTGGAACAAAAGCAGAGCTATGGACCAATGGAACAGGGCTGAATATATTGACATATCCCCCCAAGCATACGATCATCTAATAAGGGGGCAAGAAAAGTGAAGTGGAGCAAGGAAAGCCTCTTTAACAAATTGTGCTGGCAAAACTGGACGGCTACATGCAAAAAAAATGGGCTCAGATCTCTGCCTAACACCATGTACAAATGTAAGATCAAAATGGATTAAAGATCTCCACATCAGACCGGAATCCACAAGGTACATTGAAGACAAACTTGGCAAAGCCCTCCATGACGTTGAAGCTAATAATATCTTCAAAAATGTCACACCACTAGCCAAGCAAGTGAAAACAGTGATAGACAAATGGGACTATCTTAAACTAAGAAGCTTCTGCACCTCAAAAGAAACAGTGACCAAAGTACAAAAAAGGGATACAGTATGGGAAAGGATATTCGCCTAATACACATCCGACAAGGAGTTGATATCAAGGATATACAAAGTACTGGTTGAACTCCACAAGAAGTAAACATCCAACCCCATCAAAAAATGGGGCAACGAAATGAAATGAAACTTTCTCAAAGAAGAAATCCGAATGGCAAAAAGGCACATGAGAAAATGCTCTACATCATTAATCATCAGGGAGATGCATATCAAAACAACAATGAGATATCATCTCATACCACAGAGACTGGCCCACATCCAAAAGAACAAAAGCAACTGGTGCTGGTGCAGATGTGGCGAGAAAGGTACCCTCCTTCACTGCTGGTGGAAATGCCAACTGGTTCAGCCCTTTTGGAAAACAGTATGGACGATTCTCAAAAATTTAGAAATTGAGCTCCCATTTGACCTAGCAATACCACTCCTGGGAATATATTCCAGAGAGGCAAAAAAGTATAGTCGAAGTGCCATCTGCACTTTTTTGTTCACTGCAGCACCGTTTACAATAGCCAGAATCTGGAAAAAACCTAAGTTCCCAAGGACAGATGACTGGTTAAAGAAACTTTGGTATATCTACACAGTGGAATACTATGTAGCAGTTAGAAAAGATGAAGTCATGAAATTTGCAAATAAGTGGATCAACATGGAAAGTATCATGCCAAGTGAAATGAGTCAGAAAGAGAAGGACAGACATAGAAAGACTGCATTTATCTGGGGAACATAAAGTAACAAAATAGGAGACTAATACCCAAGAACAACCGAGATAAGTACCAGGAGATTTACTCCATGGCTTGGAGGCCAGCCACACATGCTAGGGGAAAAGGCAGCTCAGATAGAGAAGGGAGCACCAAATAAAGGGTGTTAGGAGGAACTGCCCAAAGTGGGAGAAGCATGCTGAAAATAGACTATAGACCAAATATGATTGCCACTCAATGTCTCTTTTGCAAACCACAGCACCCAAAAGGAGAGAGAGAACAAAAGGGAACGCCCTGCCACAGAGGCAAGGTTGGATGGGGGGAATAGGGGGTGGAAGGGATACTGGGATCCATAGTCATGGAAAACGGGCACTGGTGGAGGGATGAGTACTTGATCGTTGTATAATTGAAACCCAAGCACAAAAATTTGTAAGTCTACAACTGTACCTCATGGTGTTTCACTAATAAAAATTTTTTCAAAATTCACCAGGAAAATAAAAAAAAAGAAAAAAATCACAATCTTAGGTCTGTTTTTCTTTACCACTTATATAAATAATCATATTATACATATTCTTTTTTATCTAGGGAGTAAAACTACATAGGATCAACAAACCACAAACCAAAAGTAATAATAATAATTTATACAAAATATAAGATCATGGTTATCTGGGGTGTGGTTGGGAACAAGATAAAATCAAGAGGAATAAGTGAGAGTCTTTTTTCTTTATTTTCTTTTTTGTGCTTTTTTTGGATCACACCCAACAATGCACAGGGATTACTCCTGGCTCATGCATTCAGGAATTACTCCTGGCGTTGCTCAGGTGACCATATGGGATGCTGGGAATTGAACCCAGGTTGACCACGTGCAAGGCAAATGCCCTACCTGCTGTACTATTGCTCTAGCCCCGGGAGTCTTTTAAGTCAGTGTTTTGTTTGCTCAAGTGTGTGGAAGGGCACCCATCTTTATATGTGGGTATTTGTTGGAGACATTACTGGTGCCTGCTCAAGTAAATCAATGAACAAGGGGATGACAGTGACACAGTGATACAGTGATTTGTTTGGTTCTTGTCAAATAGCATGTGTATGATATTCATTTTCTTTTGTTTATGTAAATTATTTCACAATTTGAAAATCAAAGGGCTTTTAAGAGAGGTGAGGCAGTGGGCACAGCAAGAATAATAACAACAATATGGTCAAAGCCATGACTTTGAATGTTCAGACAGGGCTGCCCTTAAAGTGCTAAGTCCACTGAAGCAGAGAGCTGAAAATGAGACAAGGATATGTCAGCTTGCATGGTACAAGTGCTAAGTATCATTGCCTGTACCCCAGAGTCAAAGAATGTGTATTCTTTTTATAAGTCCGTATAAAATATTTATGAGAACTGCCCACATATTAAGCCACAAATAAACTCTCAACAATACCAAAAAGTGAATACTGTATATATAATGATCCCCGGCAATATATAATTCATAGATGAGAACTAACTTAAATCAATGTAATTAAGTACCTGAAATGTATAGGAGAGGATATTTCCACTGAGTCTGTAGAAATCTCTTTCATCTCCACTAAACACTTTTCTGCACTGACCGCCAAAGCTTTTAGTGTTGATGACTCCGTTCCGAAACTGGCCAGTGAGTGCGTTGTAACTGTTTTTTAATAAGTGAATGAGAAGAGTGTTAGAAATCAGAAATAGCACTTGCTGAAGGGGGCATCATTAGAGAACTCTAGGAAGTCTTGAAATATGTTATGGTTAAGCATCTCCTTATGAGAGCTCAAATAAAGAGAACAGCATCCTAACTCACACCCATACATTATCCAACTCCCTCTGCTTGTCCAACTGCTGAAATTAGTAACTGGGAAAACCCAATTATTTCAACATGAGAACATACATGGAAATACATGAGAACATACATGGAAATGATTCTTTTCTATGTATGACAATTAGTTTTAAATTGAATTTATAGATAAAACCAATAATTACAACTTAAAAAGAGAGAGCTCACCATAACATATTTTATATGATTGCCTCTTAGTTTGCTGAATGATATACCCTTTAGAATAACTTTATCATTCCCTTTTTTAATTAATTTTAAAATGTTAAACAAAAATCACATCATAGGCTGGAATGATAGTACACCGTGTAGGGCATTTGTCTTGCACATGACCGATCCAGGTTCGATCCCCAGCATCCATATGGTCCCCTGCCAGGAGTAATTCTTGAGTGCAAAGCCAGGATTAACCCCTGTGCATCTCTGGGTGTGACCCCAAAAAAAATCACATCACTCTTGGACTAGAGCGATCGTACAGGGTGTAGGGAGGGCTTTCGCCTTGCACTCAGCTGATTCCCCTTCCATCTCCTGCATCTCTTATGGTCCCCTGTGAACCATCAGGAGTAATTCCTAAGTGCAGAATCGGAAGTAACCCCTAAGCATCACCGGGTGTGACCCAAAAAGCAAAAAATCACATCAGTCTAAAATGGATTTGGGGGAGAGGAGGGTGGCAGAAGTCACACTCAGCAGTGCTCAGGGCTTACTCTTGACTCTTTATTCGGGGATCACTCCTGGCAGTGCTGGGGGACTATATGGAGTGACAGAGACTGATCCTGGGTTGGATTCATGCAAGGCAAGTATCCTACCTGCTGTACTATTGCTACAGCCCCCAAAATGGAATATTTTTTAAGTCCTGAAACTTTGAAAGTTCTTTCTCTTTCAAAAGGAAAACACAAAGTTTTCCTAAATTCACTTGGAAATGAAAGTATCCAGGTAGCTAGGCAACTGCTTTTCATCTATTGTCATCATTCCCTTAACTAGCCCCATACCATTGGTTCCATCCTCTCTCACTCTCTTTCTCCCTTAGAGTAGCAACTATTTCAGTGTTCCCCAGGGCAGAGGAGTCGACCTGGATGCAAGAATGCCCATGCTAAAGATAGGACAATCCAGAGACAATCTATGCTTTATCACATATATTTAGTTAAACTCACTAATATGAATTAATATTTATGCAGTGTCAAGGATCTTTGAACCAAAAGTTGAACTATTGGGTGACTTATCAGACTTACCAAACTATAAAATTTTAATTGTTTTTAAAAATTAATCCATCAACATACACAAGATATGACCCATCACCTTACCCATTTCCGGTAAGTTCTATGTTGGGAGGCGGTTTTTTGATGTCGCAGGAAGGTTTGCTGTCTGAGTTCTCACATTTGTCTTCATCAGCACTATCTTCCTCACAGTCAGAATCCCCATTGCAAACCAAAGATTTGCTAATGCACTGACCTGATCACAAGAAAATACACCCCAAGAAAAATGAAAGAGCTGAAGGGAAACATTACTTTTTTGATTTTGCCTCCCACCCCATTCCCAACACTGCACTGATAGTCTAACAGGAATTTGAGATAAATCTCAATGCATCCAGAGGACTGATGACAATTCAAGTTCTTATTCTGAAACAATACAATTGATTCTGATCTCGGCAGGACACAAAACTGAAAAAATGGAACCTGAAGATCAGAGAGATAGCTCAACAAATTGGAGTGTAAACTTTGCATGCAGGATGCCCAGGTTTCATCCCTGGCACCACATGATTCCCCAAATTCCAGGGGGAATAGTTCTTGTAGCATTGCCGAGAATGGTCAAAAAAACATAAAAAAAGAAAAATACAATGAAACCTGAAAGTGAATCCTTGGACTTAGAGTTCTCTCAGTCCAAAAGGTTTTATTTACCCATCACCTACTTATCTTTCAAGAATCAAATTAAACATCATCTCTTCTCAGAAACCATCACTACAGGCTATGATACATATTCTTCCTCTGTGTCCTTTTACTATGCTTTTCACACCACTATCTTTCTTCAATTAAATTTTTTATTGACTCACTGTGAGGTACACAGTTACAAATTTTTTCAGGATTGGGTTTGTCATACAATATTCCAATCCCAAATTCCAACACATAATCGTCATTTTGCCTAAATCCATCAAAACTCATACAGTACCAACAACTAAGAAGTTAGATTGACTCCCACCCACACCCTTCTACTTTCAATTTCTTTTCTAAGATTCCAACGTTCTCCCTGGGGAGGGGAGAAGGTATAGTAAGACACAGAAGTCCTATTTTCTTGACTATTTGATGGATGAATTTATATAGTAAAAACTGATATGTAAGTTTTGTGGGTACTGAAACTAGGTGCAAAGTTTTAAATTCTATATTTCTTTAGTACTTACTCTGTGCAAGACCATCCAAGTTTTGAGATACAAATAGGAATAAAAGTGGTTTGGATAGAAATGAAAAAGATATAGACTGCTTTATATTTTATAAGATATGAAGACACTGATGACAGTAATTCATACACATAATTGCTGTGATAGATCAAGGCACCAGGGAGTCCTGAAACCTAACCAATTTAGCCCCTGCCTTCCTTTTCCACACCACCTCCAACCATTCACTTAGTAGCTTCCAAGTACCCTAGTCACACTGGACCATTTACCTGAATAAAAGGCCAGGCTTTATGTCACCTCTCCTGACATAAAGCCTTGGACTTAGAGTTCTCTCAGTCCAGAAGGTTTTATTTACCCATCACCTACTTATCTTTCAAGAATCAAATTAAACATCATCTCTTCTCAGAAACCATCACTACAGGCTATGATACATATCCTTCCTCTGTGTTCTTTTACTATGCTTTTCACACCACTATCTTTCTTTAATTAAAATTTTTTATTGACTCACTGTGAGGTACACAGTTACAAATTTGTTCAGCGTTGGGTTTGTCATACAATGTTCCAACACCTATTCCTTCACCAGTGCACACTACTCTCTTGATAGTATAACCCGCACCCCCTCAATTCAATGCTCTAAATCTTTGTTCTAGACACTTCACATGCAAAAATAAAAGAAATGTAATTCATATCTTCAGGAAGTTTTATCTTCCAAGCAGGACATTCAAGCAAAAAAGAAAAAAACTTAAAATAGAAAAAGTAGGAAATACAGAAATACAGGATTTTGTTAATTTGCTTTGTTAATTGGGGGAGTAGTGATTTTTTACCAAAGGAGGTGTCATCTTATTTGAGTTTTGAAAGTAAAATAGGAGTTTGATAGCTGTTGATGAGGAGAACTTTGAAGAAAATGATTATTTATGTACTATTATTCCATAAGAGATTTTTGAGAAAAAAAGTTATGTGTTTCATCTATTTGGCAACAATTCTCATCAATAAATGGAATATTATAAGGATAATTTGCTAAAAGATGTTCAGTTAATCTGACAGCACAAATAAAAGACAACAGTTCAAATAAAACTCAGTGATGGGCTGGAGAAATAGTACAGGAGTTAAAGAATTTGCTTTATATGCATCAATCACAGTTTGATCCATGACAGTTCATGGTCCCCTGGTCACCTGTGGAAGCAACTCCCAAGCACAAAACCAAGAGTACCCCACCACTACCACCATGTGTAACCCAAACTCCCCACCAAAAAAATCACTCAATGCCAAAAACTACATTTCTGAATCAGAGCGACAGTACAGCAGATAAGCACTTGCCTTACACACAGCCACAGCACCACATATGGTTTCCCAAATCCCATCAAGAATGATCCCTGAGCACAGAACCAGGAGTAAGTCCTGAGCACTACTTGGCATGGCCCAAGAATAAACAACAAAAAGTATATTTCAGTTACTTCATTCATTAGGATGACCTATATTGCTTCTTGATTAATTAGAATTCCTCTTTACAAGCATAATAATAATAATTTGGTCAGTTACTCTGGGGGGGGGTGTACTCACTTCAGGCTTATAACTGTCTCAGTGCTAATGGGCCACTCCTGGAAGTACTTAGGAAACCACATGGGGTGTCAGAGATCAAACTAGGCTGACTACATGCAAAGCAAATGCCCAAGTAACTACTTTTTAATCAGAATTAGTGTATGGTGTACACAGAAAACTCATAATAGCTATTCATTCCACCAAAAACAAAAAGTTGAAGACTGTTCGGCTCTGTCAATAGCTGTGTTTCTTTTCAAAGAGTATTCTATCCTTATTACCAGATGTTCCCTTGCACTTAAAAGAATGATGGTCTAGTGCATGATGGATGTACCTATTAAAAGCAGACTACCTTTTGAGGAAAATTCATTATAGAAGCTATAAATCCAGTAAAACTCAACAAATATATACTGAATGAATATTCAAATAGCATAATAGCATTTGAATTAACTCTGCATACAAAACCTATGGAAGACCAGTACCTGAAAAACACCTGAAACGCTCTCCACATCCGTCTTCTGTTGGACAGCCCTGTACAGGTTCACACGATTGTGTTTCGAAGGTGCTTCCAGCACAGGGAAGGCCCCCATACTGCCCGTACACAGCAACTGACCGCCTGCGGGTCTAAACACAGAACAGGTAGTGCTTCTCAAGACATCGAGTGCTTGTTTCTAAGAAACAAAATCTAAGAAAGATTCATACAATCGGAGAAACAATGCTTAGGCATTCTTCTGAACAATAAAACCTACAGAATCACTGAACCCATATCCCACTTGTCCTTGAGTCTAGTGGTATTGGAATTTTTATTTATGGTTCACGTAAACAACACAAATTTACAGTTTTATATATTTCTCCTTGGTATATATTTATTCTCTATTGAGCTGCAAAAAAGGTTTAGTGAATTTTTAAGAAACTAAACTGAAATATCTAGGCAGACATATCAGGAAATAATTCATGATACAGTAACAACAAGTCTCACAATGGAAATGTTACTGTCGCCCACTCGAGCAAATCGATGAGCAACGGGGAGGACAGTGCTACAGTGCTGTTGATTGATTTATGTTTTTTCCAAAAGCTGCAATTCAAAACTAATTAGAAAATGAGAAATAAATTTTTCCAGAGAGTAAGCGTACCAGAAAGGAATACCTAGATGAGAACCCTTAGAAAAGTAGTGATTATTGATTTGAGTTGAATCTTAAGCCTTCTTCAGGAAAGCAAGAGAAGGAAATATGGAGACAAATTTATGATCTAAAAGCCTAAATAATCCACAAATGAAGTTTTACCAATTTACCTATTTCATGAAAACTCTAAAATGTATTAGCACAGAATGATTCATAATATTCTTTAAATTTGTGTAACTCTAAAAGAAAATTCAAGTTTTGAAAAAAAATATTTTTGATTTATAATTTTGTGGAATTCCAGGAGATTAGCTCTATTCATTTATATGAATGTAGATGTTCCACCTGTACTAAGCAGGGGGAGGGAGAGAGAGGAGAGAGAGAGAGAGAGAGAGAGAGAGAGAGAGAGAGAGAGAGAGACCTACTATAAGTGGAGAAGTGGAGGGTGGAAAAGAAACATAGTAAGAGAACAAAAACTTATCAAAGTAGTTAGAATTGAAAATTTTGTCTAACAAATTGAATTTATGTGAGGCCTAGAGGATGGGAGGAAACCCTGAGGCGCTGGTGGAGGGAAGTAGGCTCTCTGGTGAAGGGTGTGTCCTTGGAATGATGGATACAAAAAATGTGTGATTAAAATCATTGTAAATCTCAGTGTCTTAATAAAAATGGTTTAAATTTAAATTATAAGGATTGCTTTACAATTAGTGTCATTAAACTCTCTAAGTAGAAATCAACAAACCCTTTGGAATCAGAACTGGGGAGAAGATGAGGGAAAATTGAGGAAATCCTCAAATCCAATGAGAAAGCAAATTTATCCTAAAATTTATTTTTGTCAATATGAAAATATGCATTTTATGTTTAGAGAGGTTGTCAGAATCTTTTTCCTCTCCCGTGTATCCTTTATGCCTCTTCCTGTCCCCCTCACGCCTTCCCTCTAATAAGAATGAGCACTGTAGCACTGTAGCACTGTCCTCCTGTTGTTCATCGATTTGCTCGAGCGGGCACTAGTAATGTCTCAAAACAAATTGTGAGACTTGTTGTTACTGCTTTTTGGCATATTGAATATGTCATGGGTAGCTTGCCAGACTTTGCTGTGTGGACAAGGTACTCTTGGTAGCTTGCCAGGCTCTCTGAGAGGGGCAGAGGAATCAAACCCGGGTCGGTCATGTCGGCCGTGTGCAACGCAAACGCCTTACCTGCTATGCTATCGCTCCAGCCCAAACAGACCAACCGACAAGAATGGAATGAACAAAATAGGAAAAACCAGAGATTTTAAACTTGGAGCAAAGACCAACAGGAAAAACTAATACTGACTTTCTCTTCTGGATCAGCCAGAATCTTAGAACTCTGATGCCTTTTAACTTGGCAGTTCTGAGTTGTTGGCCAGTTGTTGTCTATACTTTTCCCCAGAACAAGAGGAATAGATCTTCCTGATAAATTTTTATTTTCCATTGTTAATTAATGGGCTGGAGCGATAGCACAGCGGTAGGACGTTTGCCTTGCACGCAGCCAACATGGCCGACCTGAGTTCAATTCCTCCGCCCCTCTCGGAGAGCCTGGCAAGCTACTGAGAGTATCTCGCCCGCATGGCAAAGCCTGGCAAGCTCCCCGTGACGTATTCGATATGCCAAACACAGTAACAATTGTCACAATGGAGATGTTACTGGGCCCGCTCGAGCAAATCGATGAACAACAGGAAGACCGTGACCGTGATTGTTAATTAATAGTCGCCACCGATATATGATGTATTAACATGTCTTTTCTGAGTCCCCAAAGCACAACTTGTGTTTAAGTAATATCTTCCCTCTCTACGCTAGGATAACCCTGCTGGCTCCCTGCTCTAGCAGCCTCATTTTCACCCGTCAAATTCTGATTCTATGCCCCCATTTCTCATTTTCACTTGTCTCTTGCTGAATGAAAACTTTTATTTGTATAATCTAGGGATATATCCATAGCAAGATGACCTTTATTCAAAGAAAATATAACTAATATAAAAAATATCCCTTATCTATTTCCTGTTCTTTTGTTTGTTTTGGCCACACCTGGCAGTACTCAGGGCTTACTCCTGGCTCTACACTCAGGAATTATTCTTGATGTTTCTTGGGGGATCATATATGTTGTGAGGGATCAACCCCAGTTCAGCCACAAGCAGCGCAAGAGTCCTACCCACTGTACTATTTCTCCAGGCCATGTGGTTTTGACTTTTGCCTTGAGGTTCATGAACCTATTTGCCTATAATCAGAATGCCAACTACTATATTTACAGAAGCCAATTTTTGCCTTGTGCAGTATGTTTTATAAACAACCCAATAAATGCTTGGTTAAAAATGATGCTCATTATGAAGTTTAAAAAACCGAAATAATGGGGCTGGAGCAGATAGTAGCATTGTAGCACTGTCCTCCCGTTATTCATCGATTTGCTCAAATGGGCTCAGTAACATTGTGAGACTTGTTGTTACTGTTTTTTTGGCATATCAAATATGTCACGGGTAGCTTGCCAGGCTTTGCCTTGCGGATAGTACAGGAGGTAATTGTGTAGTACTGTGAACATGGATTCGATCTTGGCACCCCATGTAGTCCCCAGACCCAGGCAGGAATAAGTTCTGAGCACCACCAGATGTGGCCCAAAAGCAAAAAAAAAATAAATGTAATTAAACAGAAATAATGGAGGGGTGAACCTGGTAATGAGTTTTGGGGAAATTATAAAACTTAAAAAGATAATACGCTGAGATCTGGAGACACAGTACAGTGAGTAGGTAGCTGCCTTGAACACAGTGGACCCCAATTCAGTCCCTGGTACCATCTCTAGTAGTGATCCCTGAGTGTATAGGTCCTTGAACACTGCAGGGTATGGCCCCTCTCAGAAAAGAAGATGATTATGCCCTGAAGTAGTCCAAAAACATCCTTTTACTATGTAAATCCTAAACTCTTTGGAAATGCAGAAAATGAGGCACCACACAGAGAAGGGTAGAACCAGAGAAAAGAGAAGTTACAAGAGAATCAGTGGCTGTGAAAAGAATGTGAGAAGACCATCAAGAGTCCAAGGCTTTGCCTGTGACAATGCCCAGATCAACTTCAATGTGTGCAGAAAAATCCAACAACAAATTGTAAGTAACTTTCTCTCAAAAGCCTTATTGGGTTTTTTTGTTTTGTTTTTTCTGCTGTGAAGAAGCCTGTGTTCTATCTTAAACACCTGTCTCTTTCCACCACCACCACTCACTTTTATTTAAGTAAATTTCTTTCACTAAAAATATTTTATTTCAAGGGAGGAAGGAAGGAAGGAAGGAAGGAAGGAAGGAAGGAAGGAAGGAAAAGAAAAACAGAAATTATCTTCCATAATACTGTTTAGTCACCTGTAAAGTAATTTTTAAGCCATATATTTACATGCAGCTGCTCAGTTTGGTGATGTCAGACAAACAGTAGAGCAGGTAGAGCTCTTGCCGTACACAGACCTGGGTTGAATCCCCAACACACACGTGGTCCCAGAACATCACCAGGAGTCATCCCTGAGCAAGGAGTAAGTCAGAAGTAAGGAAGAAAGACCTAAGCACCAGTGGTGTTGCCCCCAAATGTGTGTGTGTGCGTGTGTGTGTGTGTGTGTGTGTGTGTGTGTGTGTGTGTGTGGAGACTGGGGAAAAGGCTCAACAGGCTCAATACATATTTGCATACAGAAAATCCTATTAAATGGATTTTATTAGGATTTTAATACCTCTAAATACCACTGGGAGCAACCATCTCCCCCAGCCCACTCCCATCCCCCCCCATCCACCTAGCACACACCTGGATGTAATTCAAAACATATATACACACACACACACACACACACATACATTCTCACAAAGAATAACAATTCAAATATTCAAAATCTTTAAAATATTTCATTTCTCAGGGGCTATCCCGATAAAATAATGAGAAAAGAAAATAAGCTTCTATGTACAAAAATGTTTATTAAAATTTTCTTTGTGGCAAAAACATGTAAATAACCTAAATGTTAAACAATAGGTAAGTCAATAAATAATATAGGTAAATTCATATAACAGATGATAATATAGCTATTAAAAATTCATGCTGACATTTTCCTCCCAGTCCACAATATATAAATAAAATTCTTGCTGATAATTATTTATAATAGCCAAGAACTGGAAACTATCTGAATGCCCATTGGCTGACAAATGAATAAAGTTCATATACACAATAGAAGACTACATAGCTATTTAAAAAGAGAAAAAATCCTACTATTTGTAATAATTAATGGACTTAGAGGATATTAAGCTTATTATCCAATGTTTTTTTTTTAGAAAAGACAAATACCTCATAATTTCACTTAGACATAGCATGTAGAAAAAACAGATTGACTAAATAATAACAAAAATAAACTTTTTGACTATAGGCTCAATTAATAATTACCAGAAGAGAAGAACAGGGAGTGGGTAAAAGGCAAATGTAATGTTAAGGGTAGATTTGGACTTTCAGTGGAGATCGTAATGACGCATGTAAGTGGGCTCACATTCAGCAGTGAACATCTGAAACATACTGTTATATTCCAATGTTACTTTGATTAAAAAACACTAAAAATTTGGGGGGGTCACGCCCAATGATACACAGGGGTTACTCCTAACTGCACTCAGGAATTACTCCTGGCAGTGCTAGGGGGACCACATGGGATACTGGGAATCAAATCCGGATTGGCTGCGTGCAAGACAAATGCCCTACCCGCTGTTCTATCACTCCAGCCCCACAAAACTGAAATTTTGATGATAGTAAATGTCAGGTTATAATAATAAAACACAAAATAATCAATGATCAGACCTTCAAAAATGGCAAACTTACAGAGGGAAAATACACTGGAAGAACATCAAATAACGGTATTTTGCACAGAGCCAGGAATAATCTCTTAGCCCTGCTTGGTATAGCACAAACCCCCATCCAAAACTAAATAAATAAATAAATAAAATAAAAAAGACTAAAAGGGGAAAAGAAAGATGGCGGCCGCACGGGAGCCTTGTGGACAGCAGGTTTGAGCCAGGGTTGGCGGGAGCGGCAGGGACCTCATGGGAAGGGGGGCTTTGTGGGCCGTCCCCCACGCCCCACCGAGGTCGCCAGCTGCCCCCCACGAGCGGCTCTCCGGCACGGCCACGACTCCAGGGCACAGAAACCAATCTCTTAACTATCTAACTTTTAATAGAAATTCTTCCAGGGTCAATAAGTAAAATAGCAGAAATTCAAAACCACGCGGCCGCAATAGCGGCCGCGCAACATCATTTTATTCTTAAACCAAGTTGTAGAAAGCAAATCATTTCACAACGCTGTTTCAGCATGTCTGATTGTGGGGGGTGGGTCGTAAACTCTAAACAATAATTGTGCATCTTCTATCGAAACAATCTATCTAGTCAAAGTAGATAGAGTATTAACTAGAACTCATCTGCCTCACAAGAATTGGGAGGGGTGGGAGGTGGGGGTCTATTGGGGCTCGGGGTTAAAAATAAGTATTGGTAAAGGGAAATGTGTTTGATATTTACATGACTGAGACCTAAACCCGAAAGCTCTGTAACTTTTCCCACAGTGATTCAATAAATAAATAAATTATAAAAAAAAAAGACTAAAAGGGGGTCAGAGTCATAGAAATAGAACAATGGGTAGCATACATGCCTTGCATGCAGTCCACCTGGGTTTGATCCCTGCTTCCCACATAGTTCCCAGAGTACTACCAGGAGTGATCCTTGAGTGCAGTCAGGAGTAACCCGGCACACTACTGGGCATGACTCAAAAGCCAAAATAATAATAATAATAATAATAATAATAATAATAATAATAATAGTATATTGATTTCAAAATGGTAAAATTTTGAGGAGTGTTTTCTTTATTTATACTTTAATGAATTTTCTCCAATGAAATAATAATATTTAAGATAATAATAAACTTAATAATATTTAAGATGCAGATTTTTTAACAATATATATTCTTCAGATCAAGCCTAGAATTTATTTGCATTATTTAGAAATTAAATACTAAACAATTGCAAAAGTTTAAAATTTGATGGTCATTCACTCTTTGTTAAATAAAATTAAGCAGCTGTCTTGAACTTGTGTTTGTTTCAAATAAAAAGAAAGATGGAAGCCAGTAAATATGAAACAGATTTTGAATTAGCTACTGACCTCATTTCATGCTATTCTTCTTTAATATAGGGTTAGTGAACTCCTTTAAATTTTATCCTATGTATCCTGGTCTCAAATGTCAGGTTTAGAAAGCAGCATTTGAGGAATGACATCATTCCAACAATAATTATTGAAGCATCATACTCCCCCCCCCCATCAAATTTACTGATCTTACTCTTAAGAAGCAAATAATAATAATAATAAATAGTTTTTAAAAGTAACTGCTGGTTTTTCCAGGCTATTTCTATGTGTAAGTAATAAACATGAAGTGTTTGCTTGCTCTTACCTGCGTCCTGGTACAGCCATTGCATTCTGACCAAGGGCCGTAGGAGCCCCATTGGCAATGAACCGGAGAGGGGGCGCTGGCAGTGTTTCCACCATAGAGCAGGAGGAAGGAGAAGAGAAGACACAGGAAAGAGTCAAAACCAGTCCAAATCTGCCTTTTTCCCAAAAAAGACACTGAAAGTGTCCCAAAATATATAAAAACAAATGTGGAAAACACCATGTTTTTTTTTATTTTTCAGAAAGCAACATCATTAAACATGTATAAGAAGCGAGGCACCGTTTAGATTTTAGTGCTGTAGACATAAAAGAGGCAACTTTCTATTAACAGAGGGAGAATAAAGACAGATGTGTAAACAACTATTCATCAGAATACAATAGTACGGTCTAGCAAATGATACAGCTAATGTGGCAGGTTTCATAACAGAGATGTATACAAGATAATGTGTTATGAATATATGAATAAGGGAATATTTAGTGTTGGCAAAGGATGTCAGAATGTTTAGCAGTAAGGCAATGAGACTTTTGAAGGGATTCTGAAGAATGAATTGAAGAGTTAGACAGAAATTCTTAATTGAGAGACAAGAAATTGTAAAATGACCCTGTGGTTGTGGGAAACTAAATTGGCAAAGACTAATTGGAGAGGAATGTATTACAGATGCTCCCCCTTCTCACTGAAGCTTCTTCTCAAGCTAAAAACAGTCTCAAATAAAATGCATGTGGGCAAGGGCAAGCTGGCACTCAGAGCACTGAACTGCCCAGTGCATCCATGAGGTGACACAGAACTTCTTCCTTTCAGCGTCACCTGACTGACAGGCTCAGAATAAGTAAGCATGATCACCTTTACATCAAATGTTTCCCAAATTGGGAAAGTGATCACCAATTATCATCTAGAAATTGGGAGTGCTGGTTCCTTTAGTCCTCCTAGGGTGCTTAGAGTATGATCCAGCAGTGTGTGTACCTCGGGGTTTTTAAATAGTCAGAGTTATTTACCTATAGTCTTGAGATGGCACCAATTACCCAATTGCCTTTAGTATATTTAATCCCGAAACCATCTGAATTTACTGCTACCTACAGCCTTGGTGTCCCAGGGCCTGAAAGACTTAAGAAATACAGCCTTCAGGAGGGAAGTAGCTTGCTCTGTTTCCTCTCCTCTTAATCCCCTACAATTCTTATCATATTTGTCTTGAAATCAGCTGTTTTGAGATTAGAATCATGCATGAGACTCTCAAAGATGTTGTCGTCCTCTTTTTTTTTTTTTTTTTTGCTTTTTTTTGAGTCACACCCAGCGATGCTCAGGGGTTATTCCTGGCTCTGCACTCAGGAATTATTCCTGGCGGTGCTTGGGGTACCATATGGGATGCCAGGGACTGAACCCAGGTCGGCCGCGTGCAAGGCAAACACCCTACCTGCTGTGCTATCACTCCGGCCCCCTGTTGTCGTTCTCTTTTTGAATTCTTACTAAAAAAGTTTCTGACACATATTCTGATAACTCAATAAAGTAAATTGATCTGGTAATGTTCCATCAAACAGAGAAATCAGAACAAGGCCAAGACCAAAAAATGCTGGCTTTTTTCCTGGTCTCAAGAGTCAATGAAACATATTTTCTTAAGAATTAATTATTTAGGGCTGGAGAGATAGTGCAGAGGTTAAGTCGCTCACCTTGGATATGGCTGAATCTGATTCAGTCCCTGGCACCATATATGGTCCCCTGAGCACTGCCAGGCATCACAACTGAGCACAGAACCAGGAATAGCTCCTGAGAACTGTCAGGTGCTTAATCTCCCCTCAAAAAATTATTAATGAATGAAAATCTCAACCTTTTAGATTTAAAAGAAGTCTTGCAATAACTGCATTTAAAGAAAAACTTATGCTTTAAAATGATTGCCATTTTGCATAGGAGTTACTCCTGGCGGTGCTCGGAGGACCATATGGGATGCTGGGAATCAAACCCGGGTTGGCCGCACGCAAGACAAATGCCCTACTCGCTGTGCTATCGCTCCAGCCCCAAATACCATTCTTTTAATTTCAGGTAAAACTGTGGAACTGGGACAAGCAGAAAACTAAAACTGATTTTAGTTTTCAACTTTCTTCCTAATAGAGAATAGAATTATTAAAATAAGACTGAAGCATACTTTTGATATTATTGCCTTTTCTAAACCTGGTGTTTAGAATAAAGTGTTAAGAACAATAAACATAATTGGATTATGATATGAAACATCAGACCATAATAATAAATTCCCTTAGAGTAAATTATTTTTTTAATTTTATCTATAAATGAGCTGGAGTCATAGCACAGAGGGTAGGGCGTTTGCCTTGCGCTCAGCCAGCCCAGCCGAGCTGGGTTCAATTCCTCTATCCCTCTCAGAGGTCCCGGCAAGCTACCGAGAGTACCTCGCCCGCACACCAAAGCCTGGCAAGCTACCTGTGACGTATTCAATATGCCAAACACAGTAACAACAAGTCTCACGATGGAGACCTTACTGAGCCCGCTCAAGCAAATCGATGAACAATGGGAGGACAGTGCACTTCTATCCATAAATAAATTTTAAATCTTACCTTGAAAAAACTTGGAACTCTCCTATAAATCCCATCAAGATGAATAAGCTTAGTGGCTGGAGAGGGGATGGGGGGGGGGGCAGAAATAAAGTATTACATTTAGTGAGCAAGTATATTGGATAAAACTTTAGTTTTTTTTTTTCATCAACTTTTATCTTATTTTCATTTGTTGTTTGGGGCTACACCTGGTGGTGCTCAGGGCTTCCTCCTGGTTCTGTGCTCCTGATGGGTTTAGGGAACCATATAGGATCCCAGCGACTGAACCAAGTTTGGATGCATTCAAGGCAAGCACCCTACCCTCTGTAACATCACTCTGCCCCTCAACTTTCATCTTTTACTTTCATAATTCTGACTTTTTCATCTAGGACTCCAAATTCCAAAGTAACCTTTTCATTCCACATTTCCAAATCCACTTTTTCTATAAAACTCTTAGATAATCACAAGGGGTTCATTCACAGTTCCAAATCAAACAAAAATACAGTTGTGGAAAATTTTCCCTAAGAACTGACAATAATATCTTTGTATAATTTTACTTTTTCGGGACTTTCATTAACATTCTTTCTAAGACTCCTAGACCTTAGGACCAATAACATCACTGCCAGACAGAAAAAGGAAATTCTCTTTGGTGGAACTGTTAGATTTAAGTGTTTGTATATTTGTTTTAAGTCACTCCTATATCTTTCTCTTTCCTTTTTTTTCCTTGTTCTCTCCTTATTTGATTTATTTTAGTTGAACTTCAATCCTTTTTGAGGTAGCTTCATAGAAAAAGTAAATGGAATTATTATCTTACCTTCATGTTTTGGAAAGCATTTAGGGTAGAAGAGAGGAAAAATATTTCCATTTGTATCCAGTGGACTTTCAACTCCAGAAAGAGCCCAAGAGTCAGTCAGCTTCCCCCTCTGATTCACCCTGCGGGGGACTGATTTGGCATTCATTTATATAGTGCCTGTGTTTCTGAGACCCAAGTCCCACCCCAGCCAGATTCTCTGGGAACACAAAGAGCCTGTCCTTTCTCTTCGTTTCCATTTTAAACCAGACACATCTCATTGATTTACACAGGACTTATCTACAGCCAGGCGACACTGTTTGGAAGTGCAGTTCTGAGAAAACATATCTATAAATCAAGAAAAGCAAAACACATTCTTGGTCATATGTTTAAGGGATTTTCAAACAAAGAAGATGCTGTGTAAAGCCAAAGATAATCCCTGTTCCCTTTCAGTCTACCAAACTAACAAATGCTTTCATGATTCTATTAAATATCATACACCAGACTCTGGTATTTAAAACTTTGTAGGAAAAAATACCTAAATGCAGCTTTGTCACTCAAAATATAAATTCTGAAATATAATTTATGTCTATTTACATTAACATAGATAACACAACATAATAGCCATATCTTCCTGCTTAGCTTTTATATATTGAGTAAAATTAGCATCACCTTTGCAAAAATTTTTGAAAACACCATCATTTTGTAAGAATGCTCCTTAAACCTTTGATAGTCACATAAGTCCATTGAAAATACTTTATCATGGTCGTCATCTATGTCTCTTTTCTCTTCTTCAGTTGCTGCCTTATATTACCAGATCCTCATTTTCCATGAGTTTGCATTGAATCTAAGAGCTCCCTACATCACTTTCACAGATTTTCATGAATACTGAATTGTTTTGTAAACTTTTACATTTTTTTTAAATTGAGCTAAGATTTGCTTACGTGGTTTTGACACCTGGCACTAGAATAGGAACAATTTAGTTAGTCTTAAGTGGGAACAGAAATTTGAGTTAGGAGTAATTTCACAACTAACTATTCTGTTAGTAAATACTGTCTAATTTTAATGATTTTTTTCTTCAATCTAAAGACCTTGAGTTATACAGATCAAAAAGAGAGGGGCTGGAACAATAGCACAGCGGGTAGCGCGTTGCCTTGCGCGAGGCCGACCTGAGTTCGATTCCCAGAATCCCATATGGTCCCCTGAGCACTGCCAGGAGTAATTCTTGAGTGCAAAGCCAGGAATAACCCCTGTGCATTGCCGGGTGAGACCCAAAAAGCAAAAAAAAAAAAAAAGACCCATAAATTAATGATGATATTCCAAAGACAAAGCTTTCAACATCTTTTGCTTAAACCAATAGTGTTTTGTGTTAGTCTTTCATGTCCCCTGATTTCCAGGATATTCATGCCACTCTGATTATGTGAATTCCAAATGTCTAAACTCTTCCTAAATACTCAATGTATAGTAGTTGTCTTCATATGAGTTTCACTTTAGTAGTTGTCTTCAATTCAGTAGTTGTCTTCATATGAGTATCCCCAGAAGCAGATTTTGAGACAAGAATTCAATTACAAACAATTTGGGTGTGTGGTGGGGAGAAGGTCAGTAAAGTTTTGAGAAATTTATCCTAGAAACCACTACTGAAGTGTGGGAAGTAATACAGAGATGAGAATAAAGTCAACAAAAGGTACTTTTTCGAGCAAGATGGCTATGGTGATTAGAACTCAGCTGCAGAAGAACTGATGAAGACATTGCAGAGACTACCTAAAGGCATTTTAACTAAGTGATAAAGACATTGAAGCATTTATTCACAGACACACTGTCCATTATTGACTGAGGACTGTTTCTGAAGGTAACTGATATTTTCTCTTTTCTCCGGGGGCAGTTCAGCACATACCTGCAGAGATAAGTCTTTAAGCAGAGTTGCAAGTACTCACTGTATTCGGAGCATTTGAAGATGTTGCCTTTGTGAGGGATATGAGTGCTAAGGCAGGAAGGGGGGGGGTGTGTTGCAGTTTATTTCAGACTAAAACAAGAGAGAGAGCAAAGTTTTTTCAAAAAACAAGATAGACCAAAGAAGCAGGAAATTTGCAAGTCTTACTAATTAAACAGATTCAAGTCTGACTGAGAAAACTTAGAGAATTTAAGGGCAACTAATGGGGAAGGAACATAAGAAACATGGGAAGTTAAAAACAAAGAAATGGTTTTGGAAAAAAGACATTTTGATTTTAGAGAAAGCATTCAACATACTCGGATGTTGAATATTAGATGTTGGTGATGTAGATTTCTTTGTGAAGAAGAAACCTCAGCTTGGAGAAACATCAGGGCAAAGTTACAGCCATGAAGGCACAAAGCTGAGCGTGAGCCCAGTGAAGTGAGGAGGCACAGGAAATTCCTTTTTTTCGGAGAGTAGAGAGAAGGAGGAAACCCAGAGAAAGAGGTTGCAGAAGAAAACTGCTGGGAATGGGGTGGGGGAGTGATGGTGTAGCTGGTAGGATGCCTGCCTTGGACGGACGCAGGCAGCAGGCCTGCATTCAATCCCATATGCTCAATCCCATGTGGCACCCCATATGGTCTACCGAGCCTGCCAGGAACGATCCCTGAGCACAGAGCCAGGACTGATCCCTGAGCACAGAAACAGGAGTAATCCTTGAACACCACTGGTATGGCTTAAAAACAAACAAAAAAATAATTTCATGAAATACTAATGGAAAGGAAATAATGAGTAGTGCTATACACAGCTTAAAGAGGTGTACGAGGAAAGATGACAGCAATCAAGATACAATTAAGGGCTAGGGATGTGGCTCAGTGGTAAAGCACCTGCACTGAATATGTGAGGCCCTAAATCTGATACTAGGCACTGTGGGGCTGGAAAGGAGGGGGGGAGGGAAGAGGTGAGAGGACTATAATTAAATTCTTGTAGATTAATTTAGAGCACATTGTTTCCACATATTTTCCACCTTGTTACAGAGACAGTTCAAGGAAAAACTCATGAATTTTGTAGTTAAATAAGTGCAAGGAGTTGAAAATACTATGAGCAGAGTTTCCTCTTCCTCTGAAGTCCTTTCTCATCCTTTTTTGTCCTCATCATTTTTACTGTTGAAAAAAATACGGAAGTGGTGGTTGCTGTCGTGCTCCCCATGCTCAGGGCATTCCTGGTCTCTTCCAAACACCTTTAACCAGTGATGAGCGTCCAAAAACGTTTCCTAGCATTGCCAGAGGCAAAAATCATGCAGAAGCCAGAGCGGTAGTACTGCTCGCCTTGCACGTGACTGACCCTGGCTGGATCCCAGCCTCACTGCCAAGCAGAGCCTTCCGTTAGCAAAGTGGATTTGCTGTGCACTGTGTATTGCCAGATATTATATATTCAAGAAAAACATGGGGGGGGGAATTTTTCTAACAAAATTTTTGGGTTTTGCCCCCAAATTATATATGCTTTGGCAAATGGTGCCCTAGCCAAAATTCAATCAGTAGAGAATAAAAGTAGATTTTTGTCAGACTGCGAAAAGGTGCCCAAGGTATCCAGCCTTCTCAGGCTGCATGACACACCCCATTCCCCATTAGCCCCTCAAAGACTGCTACCAGATCCTCATGAAACTATTAGGCAAGTGATGATATTAGTAAGCTGTTCTCATCCACCTTGGGGGGATATTCAGAAACATTTTAACAAGCCTATTTCATTTGCTAGTTATTTTGCTTTGTTCCAAGTTGCTCCAACAGATTCTACCGACTCTGGGGGCGGAAGAGGCGTGAACTCCCGGGGGATAGATTAAAAACTTCGTTGCTCTTTTCCTATGGAGACTGGAAGATCAGAACTGAACCCGCCAGGGCTTGGATAAAAGAGGCAACAGCACCCCCTAGTGGCAAGCTGGTTCCGGTCGGTGGAGTTAAAATAGAGGCAGGTGAGAGCTAGCTCGTTGTCAGGCTCCCAGACAAGTGCTTCTTACGTTAATAAGTACTCCAGGTGGTCTCTTTTCCCACTAAGGTGTCACTGTGAATGCCTGAACCTAAGGAAGATTTCAGCAAAATGGTGATCGTTAAATACTTCATCATTGCGAGTAATAAGATACTGTGCATCTCTGTGGGGTGTGCTGCATTCAATACTGTGACCACCACACCAGTGGGGCTGGGGATGAGCATTCTCTGTTGGCATCTAGACCTTCATTAGTGCGTTATTTAAGGTTCAATTCTGTCAAGAAATAGTCGTTCTTCCCTTCTGGTTAGAAGTAACTGCCCTTTACCACACCGGACAAGTCCCCGTGGCTACAGATGGTGATGAGCAAACTTCAATCAGGACCCTTAGGATGCCTCCTCATTGAGGATTTCAGTGGTGACAGGGTCTTCCTAAATTTAATAAAAGGCCTACTGAGCTTGGTTTCAACTGTCACCTATATGTTTTAGCTCTCTGCCAAGCATATTGCAGTGCAGACGCCTGCAGGTCCAAGATACATTTCATTTGGTTTAAATTTGAATTAATAAGGTAGGAGAGATTGTACAGAGGTTAAGACACTTACTACACAGTGCCCTGGGCACTGACACCCAATCATCCCTTAAAGCCACTGGTTCTGGCCAAAAAAAAACAAAATAAAATAAAGCAATGTATACAAGTCCAATAATTATGTACACTCCAAAGTCCAGGGAATTAAAAATATTTTCTCAGTTCAAGAAGAAAAGTAAATTAAAAATCTTAAACTGTACAAATATTCCAAATTAGTATAAAAATCACTAGAAAACCATTATAAACACATAACTTGAAACTTCTATTACAAGTCCCTGCAGTAGGTTCCCAGCGCCGGGCCACCCCAGGTGAGAATAGGTTTCATGCCTTGGCCTGTTTCCCCTGGTGGCTCAGTGGCCGCCATCCTCCAGAAGCCATTGGAACATGATAACCTCTCAGGGTCTGCATTGCAAACCATAATGCCCAAAAGTAGAGAGAGATTATGGGGAGTCATGTCTGCCATGGAGGCAGAGGGAGGGTGGGAAAGGGAGATAGACTGGGGATATTGGTTGTGGGAATGTGCACTGGTGGAGGGATGGGTGTTTGATCATTGTGTGATTGTAACCCAAACATGAAAGCTTTATAACTAACTCACGGTAATTCAATAAATTTTTTAAAAGCCATATGTTATTCATAATCAGCAATAGAAAACAAATTGTCT